CCCTGGACTCAGTACGGAAAATGGCCACCCAGTTGGGACCTGCACACAGCAAACAGGGTATCTTCTGGGGACACGCTCATCCTAGACACAGAGGCACTTCTTTCTCCTCCAGTACCGTAAATCTTGCTTCCCAGAGAGTTTGTTTGCTGAATACCGCAGTAACTAACCACCAGAGCTCTTACTATCTCCCCAAGCGAGGGAGCCTCGTGGGGAAAAACGTGTTTTTTTTTTTTTTTAAACACAAGATGGTTGTTAGGATCCAAAGGGAGCCTACATTAAACCTTACAAAAGAAGAAAACCATGCTGACAAGTGTTTCTAAAGAGAATAGCAAAGCATTTCGCCAGAAACTCTAGAGTCAGCTCTGACAAAAAAATAAACAAAAACCTTTTAATTGGTTTTCCGAAAATAAAAATGCCAAAACAAAAGATAGAGACAAACACGGAGAAATGAAAGAAATACCAAAGCAGGGCAAGAACTGACGCAGCGGGATGTTTCTGTTTTGGAAAGGACGTGTCTTCCAGGTGACTGAGAGCACATCTGTGCAAAAAGTCAACTCACAGCGAACGGGGCCTGAAGACACTCAATCACCAGACCTTGATGGGGGAAAATGAAGGTCGGGTTGTCTTCACTCCAGTTAGCACAGGCCCTGAGAACAGTCAGGGCTCTAACGCCCAGCCTGGGAACAACTGCACTCAGGCCGCCCTTCAGTCACCCACGTCAGCAGAGCGATCCTTCCCTCGTTTCCCATAATTAAGCCATAGGAAGGGTGAACGCACATGGAAGGTGTGATTCAACAACAGGCTCTCAGCGGGTGTGCCGGTGACACTTCCATCACACAGACAGGTGATTCAGCGCTGAGGCAGTACAGAGAACGGCTATTTGAGTCACATCGGGGACCAGAAGACCAGAAGACGGATGCTGTAGCAGAATGTCCAGTGTGTTTTTAAAAGAGGAAATCCTCATTTACATTTAGGAGCCAATCCCAGTCCTCTTAGAGCTGATCGGAGGCATGTGGGGGGGTCACACAAACACGGAAGCTTGGGAAGGCGACTGTGGTTACATGGCAGAGAGCAACGTGGGGCGGGTGGAGGGGGGTTAATGCTGGACCACAGGCACTCGGAGCCTATTCTTATATGATTACAAATATGATCCATCAACATGGATAATACAAGTACGCAGTTTTGGAGCACAGGCGCCCCTCTCCTTTCTTCTGTGTCCTACAGATTGCCATTTGGAAATCTCCATCTGCAGTCGTGGTAATTTTTGTTTAAAACACAGATCCCTGGTTCCACTCCAAACCTATTGAATCAGACAGACTCTCACAGCCCAGACATCTACATTTTGGTCAGAGACCCCAGTTAAGTCTTATTTATATTTATTCATTCATTCATCCATTTATTTATTTATTTATTTATTTATTTATTTATTTTGGATTTTTCGAGACAAGGTTTCTCCATAGTCGTTCATTTATTTTTAACAAATTTCCTTTAAAAGATTTGTTTCTATTTTATGTGAATGAGTGTTTCATCTGCATGGATGTAGGTGCCCTGCATGCATGCCCAGTGCATGCAGAGGTCTGCGAGGGTATTGGATCCCTTGGAATTGGAGGTACAGACCCTTATGAACTGCCCCCTAGGTGTTGGGAATCAAACTCAAGTCCTCCGCAAGAATAGCGAGTGTGTTTAACTACTAGAGCCATTTATCTCTCCTCTGGTGAAGCCTGATCCACGCTACACTCCTGGTCACTTCAACACACGCGGGACAGAACATACAATGGGAAAAATAAACAGACTGGAATGAATCAGGAAGACACAGCTTCCTGCGCAGATTCACCCTAGCACGGATCTCCATCTGTGCTCAAGGCTAGAGACGAAGGAAGTCACCACTTGTCAACTGCCTACCATGGTGTAGTTACTGATCAAACTACCACTCAGAGCTTCAAAACAGACCAACAGAAGCTGAGTGTGGAAAAACTCGGGACTTCGCATAAGTCACAAGTCTGGAAAATGGCCCAGCTAGTTTGAGAGACTGGGTTTATCTGACCCCAGGATCCTCATTCCATTGTATTAAGTCATATGCTCAGAAAAATAGACACATTACTTAATAAATATGGCAAAAAGCAACGGAACTAAATTACTTCTAGAAACTTTGCAATAACAAAGTTTTTTTTCTTTAGTTCCTGCTTTTAAGAGAGATTCTCTGATTTGTCTGCCAATAATAAAATACAGTGCTAACCCCACTATCAAAACCACATTTAGCATCCTGAATTTTCATAATGAGGCATATGTTTGGGAACATGTAGGATCAATGATTTATGCAAGATTCATTCTTGATTTGTGAATGCTATAAAATAGGCACTGTGCATATCACACTGTCTTGCAAAGAAAAATGCTCACAGACACACACTACCCCTCTTGCCCAGTCTCATGCTCTTGGGCCCATCCCTCCTACTCCACGGTCCAGTGAAAGCCACGTTCCAGAGCCTTCTGGAAACATGCTCCTCTGAGGTTTTTTGCTTTCTTCGCAGGCTTCTGTCTCCCCAGGTCATTTCTTTTCTTACACGGCTCAATACTCAATCACATTTTCCCATACCCTAGTGGAAACCTTGTCTCTTACCTTTTCATAATTTTCCCATATACCAATAGCTCCTGAACGGGCCTTTTCCTTCCTATAAGGTCCGGAACCCCATCTGGGTGAGAGACAGCAGCTTCAGGGCTTCACACAAAGAGTCCCCTAGGATGCAACTCGTCACCTTCTTCTCAGGGTCACCATGGCACCATGGCTCTGGGATGCTGTGCCAGTTCCTTCTCCAGCGAGACAGTTGAGCCAGCCCTTGCTTCTCATCTTACCACTCGAAACCCTGATTGGATAGCATCACTCTGGGCCGGCCCCTTTTCTGGGAGGATTGAAGCAGTGTTCTTCCTTGCGTCCTCCCAACTTCCTCTAAGCTATATATAGGAGCAGGCTCCTACGGCACAGCCATGACACTTCCTTGTTCAAAGAGCCTTAATGACACCATTGATCAACACATTCCAATTTCCTAGTTGGCATTCAAGACCATTATTGTTCAGCAACAAATATTCTCCAGTTCTGGGCGCCTGTATAGACCAGTTCTAACTCAACTGGACTTGATACTTTTCACAGAATTTGCTCCATGCTTTCTCAGTCTTTCTATATTTTTATTTCAAATGCCTCCATGAATCACCAGAATGATTTCTTTTTACATTTACTGCCTGGACACACACACACACACACGCGCACACACACACGCACAGAGGAGGGGGGATGTGTATATGTATGTATATGTGTATTTCTTGTTGTTTTTTTCCAGCTCCATTAACAGTCTGAGAGGGAAGTGTCAGTTGATTTTCTGCTGAATTCTCCAGTCCTTCTAGCTGGGCCATACTATGGCAGCTACTAGATAAATATTTGCTGCATAACATTTATGGAACTTCATGAAGTGCACGAACCACGTGCACATTCATAGTCTCATTTGTTTTTATACGAGACTTACGTCATAACAAGTGGCAGTCAGGTCGTGCAGCTTGAGTTCTAGTGCTTACTGCAGTTCCTGGGGCTGCCTTTTGGCTTTTATCGCATTAATCAAACAACAGTGTTTGTGTGTCTTCAATTGCTTTATTTTAGAATGCCCACAGTCCTCTGGTCTACGAAGCTAAAATACATTGTTTTGAATAAAAAGGTCTCTTGTCAGACCGCCTATGGGCAAGGTGTAAAAATAAGAAAGGCCTCCACTGCGAGTCACAGAAATAGGAAAATGAAAAATCTCAAGTTAGATTTCAGGACTTCGAAAATGAAAATGACACAAGTCAATCTCCAACACTCTTAAAGCTGATTACCAACAGAAAACCTCCGACAGCTGGACAAATGATTCCTTGCTAAAGACTGGCCATGACAAATATAGTTATAAAAGCATAATCATCTTTCTGAATACTCAAGAATCTCAGAGAAGTTCAATAAAAAATAAACGAGAATCCAGAGGCCTGATGACTGTGTATAAATGCAAAGCATAAGTTTAGTAGATGTTAAAAGTGGAAAAGAATGAAAATTTGAACTAAAAAGCAAGAACTTTGAAATGTTTGTCTCTGCAGTCTGTTCCTGTGTCAGATGGCATTGTGCGGCTGCTAGAGCAGCACTTAGAGAGAGTTATGGCCGAGTGGCCTGGCCCGCCAACTCTGCCTCTTTGGATTTCAGTAGAAATTAGACTGCAAGCATCAGGAGGACAGGCATTCAACCGTGCACTCTGTGGCCCCAGCCAAGCACGGTGCATACAGAATACACGCCGGCCTTTCATGGCCCGCCACCATATTACATCCCAACCCTTTAAATCTCTTCTTCCTTGACTTAGTACCGTTGAGGAGTAAATTATTAACACCCTGCCTGGCACATAAAGACACACAACCGTTTCACAAATGGTACTTGTTTCTGTCACCACCTAGGACTTTGTAACCGCCTCCAAGGTAGAGCGTAGCTGCCAGGGGCTGCCAGTACATCTGTGTGAGAACTGCAAAGGGCTCTTTACGCTTGCACACTCTACGGCTAGCAGAGGACTCACCCTACCGTGAGTGGAGAGGCTGGCTATGTGCCTGGGAAACAGTCCTGCCTTGACCTCAACCCGCTGGGGTAACGATAAAAATGTATTTTAACTCTCTGGGCTTTTGTCATGTTTTGGGGTCCTTACGACTTGAAGAAGCTCAGATCTATCAAGACATGTATAAAAGTTCACATAAAAGCTACCAGCAGAACTAACATGAGAAGCCAGTTGTTTTGAAGTCCTGTTTTCTAGTTCTCCCTCCCCACAGGGGACTTGGCATACCACGTGTCCTGTGTCCTTAATAACACACTGCTTGAGAGTCATGGAAATTTTGCAGTACACAAACCTGGCAGGTCGAGACCATGATTCAGACACCTCCAGGAGTCTTTCAAAAACTGCCATTTCTTATTTTCATGTAGACTAAGAAAAGACACACAGTTTAGTTACCTCAGTTAGAACGGACCAGCCTTGACGGAGTTAGTTTCTGTGCCGCGGCAGAAATCACTTGGCAATCCTTGGTTCTGAGTCTTCCATCTCCTCCACATCAGGATCTAAGAGAAGACAAACAAGCAGCGTTTCATGGCTAGTTTCTACGATTCCATAGTTCAGCGACACAATTGCAATTGGTGTATGTGGAGCCCCCCCCTCCCCGCCGCCGCGCCCCCGTAAGCCAAGGACTGCCTCAAGTGCAGCCAGTTGACGGGAATCTCTGCAATACCCCTCAGCTGAAGGGCACATTTCCTCATTTTACAGCTGCTAGCACTGCCAGGAACCTGTTGCTGGAGGTCACACAGTTGAATGAGCGCTGGGACTCAAACCGAGGTTACCTTTAGCGCAAAACCTATGCCACAAAACACTAAGCCGAGGTCTAAAAGGCTGTTTTGACAGTGACCCATTTTTTTCCGGATTACGTTATATAAGCCAGAGGCTTCATTAGACAATGTTCATCTTTACTATGTGCAATGCTTACTCTTTTTTTTTTTAAAAAAAAAACCGTACTATATATTCTAATCTTTTAAAATATTTTTTCAGCTGTGACCCACCAAAGGGATTCTATTAATGGGTTTTTAGTTTTGGAAAAACACTGGTTTGTCGAATGGCATGCTAGAAGCCTGAAACCCTAGCAGTCAGCAGACCGCTGCGAGTTCGAAATCGGCCCGAACTGCTTGCATCTTGACCATTCTAGGCTCCTTAGCGAGACCCTGTCACGAAACAAAAACTCTACTCTTTAATCTCAGCTACAGTAAGTCACTATGTTTCTCTGGAACCGCAACAAAACTCCCATTCTTCCCAGCCATGAGAACCCGAGCGAGCGATTGAGCTTCCCAGTTGGAACAGTCTTTAACCTTTCAAATAGGTATACAGTACATAAACGCATAACATCTAGAATAGATCATTCGAAGGGATTTTCACTCAGGCCCAAACTCCAGAACAGAATCAGACACTTACCCACCGCGGAACAGGAGTTATAGAGCGGAGCCGCAGATAGGCTAAAATCTCAGGTTATTTATCAGCTAGTCTGCAAAGAAGTGTCTAACGACTGGCTGTTGAGTTGTCCCAACAGACCGATGGCTGCAGGAGGAGCAGGAGGCCGAGGCTGCAACCCCCTGGGGGCAGGGCCCTGGCTTTGCACGTCCCGTTCAATTCCAGGGGCTTGGTGTCGCACCAGGATCTCATCGCGATCCGGTAGGGTCAGGACGCTGCTCCGGTTCGCGCTTACAGGGGAGGGGAGGCGCGGTAATCCTGAGCGGTTCCCGAGCCCCAGGTGCGCGACAGTCACCCCCCCCTTCCCCTGCTCCCCCCCCTGCAGCTGGGCCTGGTGGGGCGGGACGCTCCACCTGCGGACGGACGCTGGCTGCTCGGCCGGCTCGGCGTCCGCGGCTGCAGGCTCGGCCTGAGCGCTGCCCCCTGGCTCCCGGCTACCCCCCGGAGACGCGCGGCCCCGAGGCACTTACGGGGCTCCGCCGCCCGAGCGCTTCCCGCGGGGTCCACGGAGCTTCCGGACCTGCGAGTCCGGCCGCAGCGCCGCCCAGAAAATGGACGCCGGCTGCTGGGCCCGAGCGCTCCGTTCCACCCCGGTGCAGGCCGGAGGGCGGCCAGACCTCGAGCGGACGCCCAGGCCTCAGGGAGGCTGCGGGGCCAGCCCCCCGGTGCCACCGCTACAGAGCCGGCAGGGACAGGACTGCGGGGTCACAGAGCAGGCCCTGGGCACCGGGCGCAGGCCTCGCGGACCCAGGTCCTGTGCAGTTTGAGCCGTACCAAAATTCTCAGGAACAAGGTGTCACCTGTGCTTTCCCATGACCGTCAGGGGAGGCCTAGATTATTCCCCAACATGGTATAAGAACTCTCAGTCAAAAGAGCGGACCCTCTTCCTCAAATAAAGGCCACTGCCTGCCTGCTGGCATCCTTCCTCCACCAACTCACAGTGTGGCGCGCTTACTGCCTCATGAACACCTAGGTGCAGGTGCTTGTTTTGTTTTGAATCATCCAGCACCGAGTCTTTAATTTGTTTCTTTCTAAAAAGACTCCCAGGTTACACCTTAAGATTTTGAAAAAGGCTATTTTCCTGGACTACGGTACTCTCCTTTCTGTATGCATCCCAATTCCTCACCAAGCGTTAGGAATGTGGTCATTTTGGTGAGCTGAGTAGATTTTAATAGTATATGCAAAGTAAAGCATCTTAAATGATGCAGGAAAAGAATGAGAATGGTGTCATTTAAGAACAGAGCCGTGACGGCGGATGGGTTGAGCAACATGCATAAACACGTAACAAGCAGTTCCGAGCCGTCTCAATGCCAAGAACCCTTTTATTTGTTCTCTCCGTAGGCCAGTGTTCAGAAAGATCAACTCCACTAAACTGCATTTATTAAGCAATGATTCATCTTCCCCTTTAAAAAAAAAAAAGCCTGAAATGTTTTTGTCTACATAACTGTCAATGAGAACTTCCACAAAACCTGAGCTAACTTGTTGATAATGGTGAAATCCAACCTTAAAAACAAGACCAAAGGAACTCGTGGTCTAATTGCAAATGTCTGTACGTTTGTGGTGATATCTTGTTTGTATTCGAACAAATAAAGCTGGCCTGAAGATCAGAGGGTGGAGTTAGCCACTAGTTAACGGTAGAGGCCAGGAGAGCCACCTTAATCCCAGCACTTGGGGGGTGGAAGCTGGAAGATCCGGGAATTCAAGGCCACACTGGGCTACCTGAGATTTAATCAGTCTAAAAGAGAGGCAGAGCTCACACCTTTGATCCCAGCACTTGGGATCTCAAGTCTTTAATCTCAGTACTAGGGAGATGGAGACAGGACAGCTAAGCAGAGAGAGGAGACAGGAAGGAGCTCAGCCCTTCGACCTGAGGTTTCAGTAGAAGTCTCTCTAGCGGCTTGCTCCTTTGTTTCTCTGATCTTTTCAGCCTTTGCCCTGAAATCTGGCTCCAGGTTTTCATTATTAAGACCAATTAGAATTCGTGCTACATACGTCTCCACTGAGGCTTCTGGAAATTCCGAAAATGTTTTAAAAACTTCAGAGAAAACTGATGTACACAGAGGAAGAGACTATAAGCCATACTGCTGGTGGTGACTGATGGCTCGAGACTGCCGGGTAGGAGGTGAAGAGCAAGGCAGTTTGGCCTTTTGGATTCAGCCGGCCTGAGTTGACAGCTCAGGTTTGTTGCTCTAAGGCCACACCTCTGGCCTTCAGCTTCGCTGTCTAACATGCAACAAGTTTAATAGTGATGCCCTACCTCCTAAGTGTTCTTTGTTTTGTTTTTTTTTAACAGAACTACACAATACGTGTGAAGCTTTCACAGCGGCGCCCAGCGTTACAAGTTTGCTCTAATTTCAGGCAGGTGTGAGTGTTAACAGTGCAGGTTAACTTTCTGGGCAGTGATTTTCCACGGGGGAAGCTGCTAGGGTCACGTGGGACTTAGACCCAGGTGGGACTCCGGGGCCCGCTCTTCACCTTGCTAAGGGTTCCTGGAGGCCTCTTGATCAGGTGCGGTCAACAGCTTGTTTCTAGGGAAATGAGGCCCTGGCTTTCTGAAGTGTGTCATGGCTCCTCACCTCTACCAGGGCATTCACAAACAGTTGCACTTCTTTCTTAGAGGAGCCAAATGTGTTCTCCAGAAGCAAACAGATTTCCTCAAATTGTTATTAATAACTAAACTATCACAGTAATAGCCTAAAAGTTACGTAATCAGCTAGTCCTTCAAAATTTTCCATCCTCTCTCATAACCAGGCTGTCTTAATCATCCTGAGTATGAGGAACTATCTGGAAATTTCCAGAAACATCCCACCTTATCATAATTATACACTTTTCTGTAAAGGTTTTCTTTACAGAAATTTTCTTTTCTAAAATAACTACATGTGATTATTATTATTATGTGTAACAGTTTCCATTTCAATGCCTTTAAAAAGGAAAACAAGGAATCTAAGACTTTAAGTTTCTTCCTCTTAAACCTCGGTCTGCTTATCTTTGCTGCACAACTCCGATGCCTTGTCCACGAAGCTATCTCTGTTTTCTGTCTCATTTCGTTTACTTCCCAAAGGATTTCTGTTAGACTGCATGTGCTTTCTGATTAAGACTGTGTGCACCCTTTCTTTATAGGACTTCAAGATAGTAACTAAAAAGACTAAAATGTTGCCCCTTTAAACTCTGGAAAGTCATCCGCCAAGAGTCAGGTCTCTCGCAACTCTGCCAATTTATAGTGAACATCGCCCCTCACCATGGCATTCTCAGTTCTCAATTCTGTCGTGGTCCACGGATCAGCTCCACGTCTGCGCACCATGATGTCAGGGTCCGGTGCTAGCCTGGATCAGAAATGATTTCTCTCTGGACCAGACCCTAACATAAACTATCTCTCTCTGGACCTGCTGGAGGCGTGGTAATAAAGACACAACTCACATGGCGGTATCGGGAGGGAGATTCTCCATGGTCCCTCATGATATCCTGAGTTCACACGCTGAAGAATTCCTCCTCGTTTATTCTCCAAACAGTCTTTATACCAAAACTTAACTGCGGGGAAATACATTCGCATTCTGTTTCCTAGGTAGCCAGGCGAATGGCTTTTTAGTCACATCCATAACCACCTGCGTGCTCTGTGTGCTAGCTGTTCCATAGGTTTGAATCAGCATCTCTCTCAGGCATCCTCCAAATTACGGAAAAAGGAGCAACACCACATCCTGACCGTTTGTCAGGTAGCGACAGCCTGTCCGACGGTCACGTGACCAGGGGTGGGGCACTCTGGGTTGATAGCCTGGCTGCCCTACCATATAGAAACATGGGGTGTGCACTCATGTTCTGCCTGCGTATATATCTGTGTGAGGATGCTGAATCCCCTGGAAGTGGAGTTACAGGTGTTACAAGCTATCATGTGAGTGCTTGGAATGGAGCCCAGGTCCTTTGAAAGAGCAGCCAGTGCTCTTAACCACTGAGCCATCTCTTGGGTCTTCTTTTCTTACGGCTGCTTATCTCTTTCTGTTCAAGGCTTTCAGCATCCCATCCCATCCCTATCATTTTCTGTCGTCTACACCACATTCCTGAAGGACTTCCT